ATGAGCCTGCCGTGACCACAGCAAGAGGCTAGGGGGTCCTAGACAGATGCCAAGGGTTTAATAGCCTCAATAGAGATCCAAGTGGAGGGTGTGGATGAGACTTAGAGGACATTGAAGCAGCAAGGAAGGCTGAGATTGACTCAATCCATGACAAAGGACCAAGGTTCCCAAACTAAGGCAATTGACCAGAGAAGCCATGAATTTTAGCTGTAGATGTGTGCAGGAAACCAAGTGACAAGACAGACAAGGGACATAGTTGCAGAGACCAGAGGACACAAAGGAGATCAGGGACCTGCAGGTTTGGGGCTGAGACCACCTCTTTCCTGCCACCACAAGGTCATAGAAACCCACTTCCTTATAAACTCAGGTGTCTCCTTGAAGAAAAACAATGGGCTGGAGGAAATATGAAAGATTACACATTTAACAGATATGACTGAGTTTTTAGAAAAAGAATATGTATTGATATAAAAAGATGATGAGATAGCATTAATGATCACTTTGTTCATGTATTCGTTCCCTTAACAAATAACCAGTGAGCGTGTTTTATATACCATGTACAGGGAATACAACAGACACTAATCCCTGACTTTCCAGAGCTTAGTGAGGGTAGTTCCGGATTGAAGCTACAAGGAAAACAACAACAACAAAAAGCAACAGCTCAATAAAAAAAAAAGATGCTGTAACTTATTTTCATGTTTGAGTAATGTGCTGTATTTTTAATCCTACGACAATGGAGATGAAAAGTATTCCAGTGGTATGCATGACCTTGTTGTGGTTAAGGAAAGTTAAAAATGACTACAGAGTTTATTCTTGCTTGGACACTAAATTTAAAGAACTTGACATTTTATCATAGGGTTAGTCAGAGAGTCACAGAATTTTAGAGCTGGAAAGGATCTTAGAGGTCATCTGGTCCAACCTCTTAGTTTGACTAGTGAAGAAACTGACTAGGGAGTTGAAGGGAAACTTGCCGCTAAAGCTGGGGTTTAAATATATGTTCTTTGACTTTAGTCTAGGGATCTTTATAATAGAACAGAACTTTCATTCATATCTTAGCAGGAGATAATCTATAAGCCTGTTCAATTCACCTTGGTATCAAGTGAATCAGGGCCCTTTGGAAGTGTTTCTAGGGCTGGTGTTTATAGGTATTGGGAACATAATTGGCGATGTTATGACACTTGAGTAGGGCAGGCAGTTAGAAGAAGAACAGAAACTCTCTAGAGTGGTTAGTTATTTCTTCTCCCAATAGAATGTTAAACACAGCCCAGAAAGATCCTGAGTGACCCCAGAGACAGAGTGCTTGCCAAGATGACAGTCTACTGTGAGGAGTAAAAGCTTGGGCTCAGGAATGAGACATCTTAGTTCAAATCCCAGCTCTATCATGTATCTACTACTTCTTAGTCAGTTGTAAAACTTGTAGCAAGAAATGTGTTATAAAGAATGAACAAAATGCTGAAAGTTGTGAATGACTTACCTTGGAAGGATAAGTCAGATTTAAGTTATTTCAAAAATGATTCTACTCTCACTCACTTATATGCAGTAGTTTTTCCTCTAGAGGTAAAGGGGTAGAGTTATGGTTAGTTTATGAGGAAGAATTTACACCCTGCCATTTATCTCATGGTATAGTTGACCAAGTGGTGTTCCACTTTATTGACGTGATATTTCTAGTTATGACAAATGAAAACTATAGTAGTGTTTGCATTTAATGCCCATGTTTTGCTTTTCATGATTTTAGCAAGACCTTGGAACTTTTCTGGGAGAGGATCACATGTACACTTCATCTTTCATGTATGATATATCAAAAAAAGAGAAAAGATTGGCAACAACTAAACTGGAGTTTAGGTGTGTGAGGTACTCTAATCATACACAAGCCTAGCTTTAATTTTGGTGAATGGTAGAGAAGGAAGAGTAAAAGAAGCAGTGTTGTGTTTTTTTTAAATTAAGATAATATCATATATGTGTCATGATAAAACCTAAAATGCCATCTAATCCTTTCTTTCTTGCATTTTCTTTTCCCTCCTGCACTTAATTTAAAGCTCATTAAAATATATAACTTGTAACATTGTGTTGAATTAAATGTTGTTTAACAAAAAGAACACACATGTGGTCTCACGTGCTATTTGACTAGACTTACATGGTTAAACTGAGAACCTGCAGACCCATGCATTTTCCAGTGCTTGGGATGGCATAATATCAAATGACCTTTTTGCCATTGCATGCTTTGGCGCTTGTGTATTACAAACACAGTCAGACAATAACAATGAAGGAAATTAGGCAAAGAAAAGCTTACCTTTTGTCCATGATGCTTAATGGAAAATACCACGACACTCTTAGGGTCCTTTTGGTTGGAAAGGTTACATGGGTTAATCTATGCGTTTTGTCACACAAAATGAGTTGGTTAGATGGAATTCTTGGTGTGTTTCAGCTGAGTGTTTTAGCAAATTAACATATTTATTGAGCAACAGTTAGGACAGTTTCTAACAGCACTGAGTTGGGTAGGGTATGTGTGTGAACGTGTTAGACAAAGTCAGCCTGACTTTGTTTTTCCACAACAGGAAAAATAAAAACACCTTTTCTGACCCCCCCTCAGGAAAAAAACTATTCATAATAAATTATAGTCTATTGTATAAGAGACTTGGCCTTTTTATGTATGCATATATTTTAGTATTTTGCACACTACAGTTGTGTTAATGTAGGGAATATATTTTTGTAATTTAATTAATAATCATGAAATCTTTCTGTCTTATTGAATACTACATTAAAGTTGAATAAGTTGATAAAGTCAACTTTTTTCCAACGTTAAATTTAAATGTTCTTTGAGAAAAAGCTAATAAAAACATTTAAGAAATACATATTTTTCTTTGTGCCCAGTGAATATTTAATTTACTGGTGTCATCTGAATGCTCTATAGGATCTAAGATTGGTTTTAAATATAGTGCTTTCCATAAAGTGAATCTAAACTTTCTAACGTAATCACAGAAAAAAAAATATATATATAAACCTAAGGTAATGAAGTATGTTATGGATTTCCCGTGATTAACAACTTTCAGATTCTTCAGCTGGTAATCAAGCCTTTGGGCTTCAAGTTATATTGCATACTTGCTTGCCATTTGAACTATACCTTGGCTAGATGTTTATTAGTATTTGTCTTGAGTTCCCTCCATTGTGTTCATGTAGAAATTGTGTCACATTTCCAATTCAAAAGAAGACAAAATGAAAGTTAATTTTTAAAAGTTGATGGGCTAATTATTTTCTTGAATTGTCCCTCAGGAGGAATATTTATGCTATATTAATGGTAATATAGGTAAACCATGACTACAGAAATTGAATACTACCCACAAATGCAAAAACCCTTCCAGAAGACCTGTACAATGTGTTATTACTTATGTGCTTTTCTAAATACAAAGAAAGCCAAAGCATATGGTAATAATAAAGCATCTGCTTCAAAAGTCTGCATCTAAATTTGTTTATAGATGGTCTGTGTATTTAACTGCTATATAGCACACATGTGAATTTATCATTGGATACTTATTGATCATAAAGAGAACAGTGGCATAGATGTCATTATATAACTATGTAATATCTGTATAAATATGTTATATATAATATAAAATCATCTTTTTATTTATAGCTTCCTTATTTATTTATAATGGTACATAATAAGTGTAGCTTTTTAAGTATCAGGCGTCATAACTTCTATGACAGTTTCTTGGCAAGATGCAGACTAATCATATTTAGAAATAACATGATAGTACCATTAAAGCTGGAAGGAAATATAGAATTCAATTAATATTATAATTTCATTTTACAAAGAAGAAGATGGGCTCAGACAGGTCAAGAAATTTGCCCTCAATGGCCCGGCATATTTACAATAGAACTAGGACTAGAACCCATTTATTTTATTTTTAGTTTAATGCTCTCAGACTGATTACATTTCCTAGTTTGGATTAGAACGGCTCAATAAAATCCATGATTCCCTTATAACTCTCTTCTGCTTCCTTATCTCTCCTCAGGGAGGAAAATAAAAAGGTGATCTTTCTCCCTGTAAGTATTTGGAGAGTGCCAATAACTACAGATTGTATCCTCCTTCGTGACATTTGATCTTTATTTTTATGGATCATTCAACTGAAGGCATGCACGTTACTCATTTCCCCCTCTTATTACATGCATATATTTAAAACATTCTAATCATGCTTTGAAATGATTTAGTTTATTACAAATCTCTGATCTGGAATCTTATGACATTATTGACTGAACAGGAGCTTTGTCAGTGATTCAGATACAGGAAGGTCTCCAAAATAAGTTACATTAAAATACGAGCATTCCCTTTATCTGGAACTAGAATAAGAGTTCCACAGTGTAAATCTGTCTTCTAAAAGAAAACAATTTTTAATATCATTTATTTTCAGTTGTTCACAAATTCTTTTATACCTGCTTTGCTTTCCTTTTACTTTTAGAAATCCAAATTTCATCATATAATATATAAACCATAGGCTCCCGGGCACTGTGGAGGGACTTTTTGTTAAAAAAGCATGTGGCTGTGTGTGTGTGTTTCCATCTCTTTTTTGCAAGAGATATTTCCTCTTAGTTGGAAAGCCACATTTGGGTACAGACATCTGGGTATAATGTCACCAGTAGAAATTAGCATTTTTTGTTTTTCTAACTTTTGAAGCTCTGGTCAGCTTCACATGGGCTTTTATCAGTTGATATGGCATCTTCAACTTCAGCCAAGAGGAGGCTATTAGATTACAAGTGCTAAAAATGATGAGTCGTCTCCACACTTCAGCCAGCATGAATGCAAGCAAGATTGTAAAATAATTATAATCTGAAGCAGAGCCAGCCATGCAACCCCAGCCTATCTTTCTTCATTAATTTGTATACAGTTCTTATTTCAAGAGAACAAACTTTCAGAGGGTACTCACATGGGGCTGCTGAACCAGCTGTACAACTTTTATTTTGAAGAAAAAAAGTTGAGCCTCAGAACAGTCTGTTTTAAAGACAGGGAGGGACTTAGCCTTTCGGAGCTTGACCAGCATGTGGAAGGAGAGCTCTCATGGCTGCAATAACTTAGGGCGTTTCTACCTGGATGACACTGGGGCAGGAAGTTTTCTGTTTGTTTTGTTCTGTTTCGGAGGGTCCCGTGCACTTCTCTTGCCTGGATCAACGTGACTCTTGGTGGTTTTTGCACACCCTGCTCTGTGGGGGAGTGCCCCAACGTGCCTGTCTTATGTGGCCTCTATGGACACACTGCTCAGCTGGCAGAGAGCAGGGAAGTTTTCTCCCAGCACCCAAAAAGAGAAAGAGGAAACTACTTTTTCTTTCTGGGCTCCTTGCAGCACAATAGATCAGAATAAGCTTCCACATTTCCTCTCTGGAGTTTCTGGAGTGGTTTCCAGGAAGAAGTTAAACCTTCACCTTTAAATGGATGACCATGTCACAATCAGGAAGAAACATCTCCAAAGACCCATCTTTAGGTAAGTAATGCTGCATCCCAGGTGGCTCTAGGGCTGTCAGGAAAAATAGTTTCTCCCTTCATCCTTAATTTGAGGTCTGCCACTAATCAAGAGCAATCAAGAGTGCTTAAAGTTTAACTTCAGGCATACCAAGGGAGCCTTTTGATTTTTCATTTTCTGAAACTTTGTGTACAAACTCTTATCAACTCCTGAAAATACATTTAAAAAACATCTTAACTATTCAAGCACATAAATGACATAGTACTGGAAAAACTCTGGAAACGTTATGCAATCTGTAGCTGTTTCTGTGGGCTGTTGCACAGCCCTCTAAATAGGAAACGTTGTGCTTAGTTCTTTCAACTGATTATAGGCAAGAGCAGTGTTTCAGTGCTGTGAATACTACACCTTTCAGGAGTTAAGTGTCAGGAGATAAATTTGAACTTGATAGCTACTTTACTAGAGTGCACATTTTACAACTTGTTCAGGAATATCAGACCAGCAGTTAAACAACAGGGTGATAGGAAAAAATTTACACTGTGGTGGAATCTATGACCAGGCGAAATGTAGATACAGTGTAATGGATTGAGCTAAAGTTTAATTTTGGAGGGAGGTACACCCTTTCTCTAAGAAAGCAGCTGTTTCTTCATCGACTCTTTAATTCTGGATTCTTTAGTTACCTGTTATGTACTTTAGAATTTATAATAAAAAATTAGTCATTTAAAAGTATCTAGAAATTGAACACTATTTTTTGCACCTTAAAACAGAAGATTTTTAAGAAAGTCAGTTATATATCAGTTTTGTTCTTTCCACAAAATAATATTATAAATAAAGCAGAGATACTACATGTTAGCAATGTTAAAGTCAAGTTGCAACCACTGGTTTTGGTCTGGAATTAAATACAGGATGATAAAACGTATGAGCAAAATTTCTCTGTGGTTTCTACATAATGAATGAGTAGACCTCGAGGAATATAATTATATAAAATGTGGCCATTTTTATGTATTGATTAAACATTAGTACTGAATTATTAAAAGCAACATTATACTTTTGTAATGCTTAAAACAAGATGTTAGCTTGAATCTGTTTTAAAGTCTTCCTTTGAACATAAATTATATTTAAATTCACATATATGGATTTAGTATTATAATCCCCATCTACTTAAATACGTTTTTGTAAGTCTTATGCAATGATGTTGGTAAATAACCAAAAATCTAAAATGACCCCCAAAATATATTCACCTACCATATTTCCTGAAAAGTTCTTCCAATTGTATGTAGTATCTATATTTTCCCAAGTGCACGTGCAACTTCAAAAAGGCATGATAGTTGCCCAGATGATTCTAAACTCAACACCAGTGAGGCACAACACCAGTGAGGGCACCTGCAGCAGTTTGGAAAGGCAAGGTTGTGTTGGGTAAAATCAGATTCACCTAGCCATCATCTTTATTGTATTACCCCTTTGGAGAGCTGTGGGGATTGAAGCAGTTGGTTTTCACCAGTGATTTATGCCAAATCCTCATTTCTTCCTGATTAGTTAATTATATGCTTAGGTGCTACGGGCAGGTGGATTGCAACTTAACTGCACGTCTGTGCTTATTTATGTAAAGAATAGAACTTTGTGGAAGCTGAGATTCTTTGCCCAGATAATTAGAATGAAATTTGTCAAATTCAAGTGATTTGCTTCATGATCCTGGTGCTCTCATACTTTCACCAGGGAATTGTTACAAGTAAGTCTAGAAATGGGTCTTTGACTGACAACAGATTAAAGCTATATGTGGGAGCAGGATTTACTGGTCATCTGGCACATTGACAGTTGGCATTGCTTTTACCAGGGTATTATTGTGATGAGGGAAAAGGGAGATGGAGAAATATCTTAAAAGATTCAAATAACTAGGCTTAATTGCACAAAGAAAGTTTGGAGCTGATTTCCATAACACAGACTTCCCAATAGCTAGTTGTACTTTTAGGGAAGCTGGCAGTGAGTTAAGCTTACTTTTGATGCATTGCTTCTTATCTCATGCCTCTCTTCATTTTCTTTGTCAGCTTCCTTTCTTAGGCACCTTGTTCTCTGAGGCTTTCCCTGGGCTGTCTGGCCTCTCACATTGAGACGTCTTTCTCAAGACTGACTTTTCAGAGACCCATGTACCAGAACTTTCCTTCTCAATATGTACTTGTAACTGCACCCTACTTCCTAGAGGCCTTGCACACTAAATCTCAATCCACTTTGCAGGCAAATCTGTGCCAGTGTATTTTGTGTGTGCTAGTGCGGCCAGTTATAAGCTTAATGGACATTTTATGAAAATGGTATCTTGGCTGTTTAAAATTAATTCATTTAAAATTTCAGTCATTAAGAAATATTTGACCAGGTGCCATGGCCAAATATTCGTAATCATGCTTGTAATCCCAGCACTTTGGGAGGCCAAGGTGAGTGGATAGCCTGAGTTCAGGAGTTCCAGACCACCCTGGGTAACATGGTGAAACCCCGTCTCTACTAAAATACAAAAAATTAGCCAGGTGTGGTGGTGTGCACCTATAGTCCCAGCTACTTGGGAGACTGAGGCATGAGAATCGCTTGAGTCCTGGAGGCGGAGGTTGCAGTGAGCTGAGATTGCACCACTGCACTCCATATTGGGCTGTAGAGTGAGACCCCAACTTAAAAGAAAAGAAAAAAAGATTATTCCAGGATTTTTTTTTGAAATATTTGGCTCATCGATATAGTTTCAAATGTCTATATACAGGTTAATTTCTCCTATAATTGAAGCTCCAGCTTTAATTCTAGTCACCTGGCCTTCACTGATTGACTACCAGTGTCCACTTCTGAGTCCATGGTGCTTGAGAGTTCAGATATGGGGGGAAAAAACTTATGGGACCTCACATGATATATCATTGAGGATATACCTAGATAAATGTGATACAGGCAAGAGATGGGTGCCATAAAGGAGGTGATAACATCCTGGGAGATTGAAATGGAAGTGACAGATTTCAGGAATGACTCATTCTAAACACCTAAGTGACTGGAAAGATATGAGAGCAAGAGTTTTTTTTTTTTTTTCCAATTTAATTTTCAAGATTTAATTAAAATCAGTTTTTCATCAGCACAGTCATCCTAAATTTTGGAAAGTAAGAGTCACCCATCAAGTGGAAAAAGTTACTGAGAGGTTTTGGAGTAGATGGTGAACACTGAAATTTTTTAGCTGGCTACGATATTAGGAGGCTTGGGAGGAATCTTGCATATCATTTAGATCCTGCCTTTAAGAATGTCTGGGGCTCCTACAGTAAAGATTCCAAATCATTTCCCATAGGTAGGTTATCAAATCTATTTTTTTAAAAATTTCCTTGGAAATTTTAGATATATATTTTCATATCATGTCAATGAGGCAAGGAACACAGGCTAAGTTTCTTTCATGGCCAAGGCAGGAGTTTATATTATCTCCTTTATGGCTATCATGTGGAAGTGTGGCATCAATGAGACTATCGAGCCCTGAGCATATGTGCATGGTGAGTGCCTTTTAGGCACACGGTGATTCTGCCTACACAGGCTCTTCCAGCTCAGACTGGTGTTGAGAAAACACGATGCTCCTTTTCCTCAAGAGAAACACTTTGAATTTTATGATTTTCTGGAAAGAAAACACAATCACAAAAGTGTATTAATATGTTTTCAATCAATGCTGCTAAGTTCCTCAGCATGTAACAAATTACTGTACATATATTTTAAAAATCCAAGATGTGAATCAACACTTCATATATGAGACCTCACATAGATACATTCCTTTAGGCTTTTGAAAACCTTTGTTTCTATATTCCCAGAGATCTTTATCTCTGGTAATTATAATAATTTATCTCTTTATATGACTATATTCATTAATTTGCATTTTAATATTAAATGATGTAACACATTCAAATGAAGGATCTTTATGTAACTTTGGTAAAATAATTGTTGAAGACATTTACACCTTATAGCATACTCATCTTGATTAGTAAACTTTCTATAGTCCCATGTGATAAATCAACCTTAGACTATGATACCAAAAAAAATCTGTTTCTTCTAATAAAATTGCACTAATAAAGTATTTGTCTGAATTTCACTGCCTCAAAGCATTTAAGCCTGGGCTTTTGTTATAATTATTTTCTCTTACTTAATATTTTGTTTTATCAAATTCTATTATATGCGCATTTTCCCCATTTGTTTCTCCAAATTCTTTCTAGAAGTAGGCAGTGAAACAATGAATTTAAAAAGTAAATTGAAATGATTCTTACATGTTAAACTTTAGTGTTATTTGGAGCCGACAACCTTTTGAAGCTCTTTCATGGTTCAGAAGTGGTTAGGTCACTTTTGTGGTAATTTTCCATTAGAAATAAAACTAAAAAGCCACAAACAAAATCATGCAGATAGTTCCTTATTAGGCCTGTAATTGAGAAGAAGTCTATACATCCAGGATCAAAGATACTAAAGACAACAGGTTTCCAGACTAGTGAACATCATATTGGGATCTCGTAGCATTTAGATCACACGGTTTCTTCCCTTTATGTCTTCTCAGAAGCTTTATTTTCACAAGTATCTGTTAGCAGAGGAATTCTGAGTGTGTATTTGGCAGGCATATTTTCTTCATATAATAATGGAGAAAGCAGTGGGATGAAATAAGAAAGCCTAGAAAAAGAAAAGCACATCCTAATTTTGTCTGTGGACCTAATGGCAATGGTTAATACCTATTGCTGTTAGTGACTTAACTGATTTTTGAAATGTATTCCAAAGATCAAAGCAAAAAAGATAAACACGTTTGAATGTAAGGCAGATAATGTTTACCATGAAAGAAAATTTCAGACATTACAGTGCCTTGTTATTTTTCCAGTTGTGATAAAAGTAGCTCTAATTTTTAAGTGGTCATCACTAATAGATAAACTATGATTTGTTATACTTTTTAATAGCAGGCGGTAAATTTAATGCCAGGCATTTATTCCTGCTGGTATTATTTCACCCACAGTCAGCACAATTTAAATTATCTCCAATAAGCTAGCATCATA